TTTAGGCAGAAGACGCTTGTGGAAAGACAGCTGTGTGTAAAGGGGGAAGGTTTTAGCTCTTGGACTCCAGGGGGTATCAAACAGTCAGTGCCATGCCAATTCCTGACAAGCGGTGCATCTTTTCAACACTTTCCTTCTCAGAGGAGACAGAAAGCAGGGTCTCCACAAACAGCTGTGGACTTAGAAACTAAGAAACCAGATTTAGGCAGAAGACGCTTGTGGAAAGACAGCTGTGTGTAAAGGGGGAAGGTTTTAGCTCTTGGACTCCAGGGGGTATCAAACAGTCAGTGCCATGCCAATTCCTGACAAGCGGTGCATCTTTTCAACACTTTCCTTCTCAGAGGAGACAGAAAGCAGGGTCTCCACAAACAGCTGTGGACTTAGAAACTAAGAAACCAGATAAATCCCCTGGGAGACACAAAGGGAAGAGCTGCTATTGTTAGGGAATTTGGGGAACATTTAGGAGAGTAAAGAAGGTGCATTAATCCAGTTGCTGTCCCAGGTCATGAGTCCAGCTCTCCCATCACCTGACTTGTACTCTTTCTCTCTTTCTTTCCAGGGCAAACAAGGAACATCCCTCCCCCCATCCCATCCTCGCAGCAGAACACCAGATACCAAGTTCTGTGCCTCACAAACCCCTTTGTCCTCATTGAAAAGGAGTGCAGGTGAAGCGTGCATATGCTAGACTTGTCAAGGAACCATTTCCATGGCAACCTCTGTGTGCCGCTGGGCATCTAGTCCATTCAAAACCTTGTCTTAAAGGCCTGTTAAGCAGTGGGAAGGGACATGCCAGGACTCTACGCAAACTATGGTCAAGACAAAGCACTACCCTACTCTCCAGGCAGTTTTCCCCTTGACATTTAGGACTGCAAGAGCTTTGAGTCTCCTCCACACCTGCCAACAGGCCTCTGAAGTCTGCCTGGGAAATAAGCTTGCGGCGTACAGCGAAGAGGAGGAGTGATTTAAGCCGCAATGGGACGAGGTGCCGGTGTCCTTGGCTTTCTTAGTGGAAGTGATGAGCACGGCAGGTGTCTAATAAATTCAGACGCAAGCACAAAGCTAGTGAGAGTCAGAGGGATCCCACTCTGGACCATAATGTGCCTTCTCCTCCGAGGCTGTTCAACTCTCTCTCTTGCCCAGTGATTTGTTGCAAGGCAGAATCTTGGGGTAAAATTCTGCACGCAGACAATATTTTCATCGGTATTCTACATTAAGAATAAATAATGGAAACCACCTCAAGCCAGCACCTCTAGATCTGGAACGGACGCAACCTCTTCCTAAAAGACATCTTTGTACCTGGGCATCCTCTGGGTCCATCTGAACTCATCAGCTGCTGCCTCCACACTCATTAATTCTTCAGACAAGAGAGGTATGTGGGAAAATAGCAGGGTATAAAGGAGTGGACGTTCGTGGCTCTTGGTGTTATTCATTTCACTTCCCTAAGACATGAAATGCAACAGCTGTCGGGTCACCAAGCAGGTCCCGATGTCAGACAGGGAACTAGGACTGGGACCCGCTTTCTTCATGTGCTTGGATTCCCTCCCAATAGCCCCGTCTCTCAGTTCTATAGCTCAGGTGGAGATACATGTAAGGCAACAGCCG